CACCGGATGGAAGAGTGTTGTGTTCCCGGTGGAATCCCAAGATTCCATGAGTGCTCCAGCCCTAGAGCTCGAGAAAGACGAAGAAGCAGCGGTGGTTGGAGATGGGCAGAGATACGAGGTGTGCTCTGAAGCTACAAGCGGCTGGACGAGGAGGTGCGATTTTTTCTGTCCCCCATCATGCTTCATTCGCATCTGTTCAGCTTAAGAGATGCATTCTCGACATACCCCGCTGGTACAATCCTGTGATGGATTATTTAGAAAGACCAAATATCAAACAGTTAAGTGTCTGGTTTGTGCTGTTTGAGTCGTGTCCGTAGTAGGAGACGCAGAGAGTAATGGTTTCAGGTTGTTCGTTTTAGATCTCTGAATAGCTTTCTGGTTCGTTTTTTGGATTATAGGATTAATAAGACCAACCTGTCATTGACACACAATATCTGTGATGTTTGGATTCCTAGCATGCTCTGTTGGATCTTGAAATTATGGGTGTTTTTTGTGGATGTAGCAGGCTGCAAAAATAGATAGAATGAGTTATGCTAATCATGGGCGTGCATATTTGGATTACGTAACTAGAGATGCATTCTTGTGGGGAAATACATAAATGCAAATTAGTAGGCGATACTGAACTATGTAGTTTTTTGATTTTAAGCGTGGCGTCTGACATTTAGACAAGAGTAAGCGAGATAACTTTTTGTTGTGATTATGGCTGGAGTACTGAGACTCACCGTGCATGCAGACACAAAATCTGTTTTGTTTGGATTCTAGGATGAGTGTGCTGGACCTTAAAAAGATGGCTGATTGTGTATTCAAAAAATCTGAAAAAGAAGGATGAGTTATACCAATTATGGTTGTGGATTTGGCTTCTGTAAGTAGAAGCTGGTTTTCGATGGTGACAGGAGAAATGCATTTTTTCAGCTAATAGTGAGCTGGATATGTGTATGTGATTTCTACCGTGGCATTTGATATCTATGCAGTGGGGAGCCGTATTTCAATTTTTTTTGGGTTTCTCTAGTCTCTTGGGGAACCATATCTAATTGCTAAGGTGGGTGATGGGTATTCCAATTATGCATTGTTCCTTGTTCTGTACGTAGAACATGATGTGTGTATTAGTAAAAATCAGCACATGTTGTGTGTTAGCTTAAGTTATTTTGTCAAAATGTGTCGATTTTCAATTCAGTTCTAGTGATAATGGTTTGTGTTGTCTCATCAGGGTGAGAGTGGGAAAAGCATATATGGAGAATTTGGAGAGGGAGGCCTGACCGAAAAAGTGCTCGCAAGCTAACTGCAAGCTGGTTGGTAAAGAGGGCTTGAGTGGGTAATTAAAAAGATGACTTAGCTGTCAATGTAAGGCAGTTGATATTTCAGTCATTTTCGAGTTCGAATCAGTTGTGGTCTGCATGCTAATCTGTGCAAAATCAAATACATGTGATATATCCTGCATATGGTGATGGTACATTGGAGTTAGGAGGTGATCAAGGGTCCAAAAAATTTCATGGCACAAATGTGTGACTATGCTTTCGATTGAAAAATGTTGTGCCAGTGATTGGTAATCACAAACAAGTTATGGAAATGGATAAGCAATGTGCATAGTCATCTGTGGAAGTTAATACTGAGTTTGAACTACTCCCTCCGTAAAAATATATAAGAGCGTTTAGATTACTAAAGTAGTGATCTAAACACTCTTATATTTCTTTACAGAGGGAGTACCAGTTAACTACCTTGCTATCATTACATACACTCTGATGTGTAAGCCCTCATCCTGTTTACTCTCTAATCCAATATTGTAATCGGGAGAGTGGTTAATTTTATTTGCCAGTACTCATGGCACAGTCGGCGCGCGAGTGGAGCAAAGAAAACTTGTGCCAGTCGCTTACAGCGTACTGGTCAGTTCTGTACACGTGTTCATGAAACCTTGTAAACATGTTAGTGCGTGGCTGTTTATACAGGTTAAATAAGTTAACAGCATTGGGATTAATTTATCAAACTCGAGCCTACAGGTCATGGTTCATCCACGTGCACATTCAAACTTCTGGTAGACTAACGAGTGTAGGATGTCAAATTGATTCCCAGATTAAACATAGAAGTTTTCACACTAACGGGCTGAACTTGAGGAGTTTTATTTGTGCAGCCGCAAAAAACGAATTAATCTGGATGCGCTTAATCAAGGGTGGCTAATGAAGAATAAATCTTAACAGTCAGCTGGCCGGCATTGCTCCACGATTCCTCTAGTCGGACTTGTGGCCAGCCATGGCCCATGGAATCCGGTCACGTACACGTCTGGGTCCTACTGTGCATGGCTATGCACTCAGCTCGACGCGGTGTGCGTACATGTCAGGCCAAGTGGTGGAAGTCTAGATTCGTTTGCATGTGGTGGGACCTACCTGGCTGCCACCAAAGTGAAGTCGCAGACGTGAAGCGCTATTGCAAATCGGCCATTATAGATGAACATGGCGTAATTAGTCAAGACTAATACTGCTGGATCTATCGCATTCACCATTAGGATGGACATGTGGCTAAGCTGTTCCAATTTTCTAGCGTGTAAAACAGATAAAACTCAAGTCCAAGTTTAGTGGTAGTGGCTTTTAAACACAAACGGCAGCGTAACTATGCTGCATTTGCTAATCAAAACGGACAGACAAATTAACATCAAACAAAACAAACTTGCTTAGTTCGTGGAGAGCTAATGGTGAACGAACATGCGTGTTCGCTGGCCGCCAGTGCTCCACGTCCGCCCTTGACCAGCTAGTGGTCTCCGCTGGCCAACGATCCTCCACGGCATGCACGCACAGGTCTACAGCTCGCACAGTAGTGCGTACATGTCACTTGTCAGGGGCACGTCTGAGTCTAGATGGCTTTGCATGTGCGTGGGGCCTCACTAGTTCTACACGGGCGCTCTCCTCTGGCCACCAATCGACCACGACGTGCATGCACGGGTCGTACAAGTCTGCACGCGCATGGGGCATCAGTACTAAAAAAGCCCAACGCTGTGCGTACATGTCAGTTGAGTGTAAGAGCCCTAGGTGCTTTTGCATGTGGGTGAGCCAGAGCTGGTTGAATATAAGCTAAAAATAAATGGAATACAGGCGGTATACAGCGGGAATCCCAATGCTGACCAGACGGTAGGGATAGCGGCCTGCCTGTAGCGCGGCCACCAAACGCATTTTTCGGACCGCCGCTGTATCAAGGCCAGAAACGCCATGCCCTCTGGCGTTTGTAGACAAGTTAGAAACGCCAACGGTCCTGGCGTTTCCAGCATGCCACGTCAGCGAGCGACGCCTATTCGGCTTGGGCAGCAACGCGAGCTAGTTCGGCGTTTCTATATGGAGCAGAAACGCGACCTTGCTCGGCGTTTCTATGTTGAGCGGCAACGCCGCGGACTGTGGCGTTGCTAAAAGGGTCAGATCCTGAAATACTTTCATGTCGAGTTCAGTTTACGACAAAGATTGCTCATAAGGTCAGAACAGTGATTTTGTCCAGTATTCTGGGGCCATATATCCCCTGCAGTACAATATGGAAGTTTGAGGCATTGCAAGAAAGAAAGGAGATGCTACACAGGAAGACAAAACTTACAGTGTTCGTGGACGATTTTCAGTGATGATCCGGGATTGCTTGTCACAAAAGATCCTTGATAAACCAAAATCCGCTATTTTGGGCACCATAGTAGTATCCATCAATATATTTTTTAGCTTCAGGTCGAGATGAACAATATGGCATTTCTCATGAAGGTAATGCAAACCATTGCAAACTCCCTTTATTATTTGATATCTCATGTTCCAATTGAGGCCCGCAGATTCATCTACTTAATTGATAAAGAAAAAAAAAATGTAAACCCAGTCAAAGATGACATGGTACCACAACAACATAGCTCCACCTCATGAAAGGGTGTGCATCTATGATACAGAGGTGATTTCTCATCCATGTAATGCATGAAGTTTGGAGGAGGCCCCCGCGTCGCTCCCACAGGGGCGACTCGGGCGGCGTAACCCTAGCCTAGCCGGCGGAGCGGTGCTTCATCCTACTCATTGATGGCGGCATGGCGCAGTGGAGATTCGGCGTCCGATGTGTGGCGATGGATTCGCGCAGGAGGACGAAACTGTCTGGTGTCGTGGTGACGTCGATGCTGAGTGGTCAGACAAGGTAGAAGCCTCAATATTTGCTCTGAAGACGGACCTGTGGAAGATGGCGGCGACGACACACGAGTGCGTCGAACCGGTTTGTACCCCAGACCCGGTATGTGGCTTGGCTGGGGCTTCCGGCTTTTGATGTTAGGGTTAGGTTAGTGGTCTGGGTAGTGGCCCAGCTAGCACCCCTTCATCATTTTGATGTTAGACTTAGATGAGTGGTCTGGGTAGTGGCCCAGCTAGCAAGCTTTCATCATTTGGATAGGAGTAATGGCATATGTTGCCAAGATAGCGGATTCAGGCATATTGTTGTAATACTTTGTAAGGTCCTCGAGAATAATAAATAAAGTGGCCGCATGGATCTCCCAGATACAGAGGCCGGGGGTCATCCTCCTTTTTTAAAAAAAATCTATGATGCAGAGGTTGTGGGTAGGTGAAGACCCTCTCAAGCTATAAAGACCTCTACTATTTTTTATAAATCAGATTTTTTAAGCCATAAAGACCTGTCGTCCTTTGGCTAACAACTAAACTTCATGAAGGAGTAAAGCAAATAAGAAATAAGCTAGTGGTTGTTTTTTGTGATTTTACCTGAGATGTACTTGTGAAGGCTTTCGCTGCATGCGTACATATTCAAAGCAAAGCAATCTCTTTGGTATTTCAGCCATAATATGTTTCCCACTACCTTCGACGTCCACCAATTCAAAACTTGTTTCGGCACAGTAGCCAACAAACTGCACTACATTTTGGTGCTTGATCCCCATAAGAGAACTGGCCTCATTCTGGAATTTCGTATCATCCGTCAGATGTGTTTGAAAAAGCTTCTTGACGGCAATAATTTTTCCACTCGGAAGAACTCCCTGCGCTGCAATTAAGATAAACTCCTCAGCATTTCCGGATGTGTGCATTCGTCAACAACTATTAATTGTTAAGATTTGACAAGTAGAATGAAAGGAATTGGCCATATATAGTACCTTGTAAACCACTCCATACCCACCTCTGCCGAGTTCTTGCTCACTGGAAAAATCACATGTAATGGCTTTCAAAAATTCAAATGGCAGAGGCACTGGTTTTGCACTTGGATCCTGCAGCCGCTTCTCCCATAGATCATTTGGATTAGCCATTAACAGGCGCACCTTGTATTTGCTCTGTTTCAAACTCTAAAAATCACTTCCCATAATAATCTGTAGAAAGGGGAAAGAACCTACCTAAGAGCCTAGATCTTGGAGTACGCCCGAAAGCTAGGGAAGCAATACCACGGAGGAACATAAAACTAACCTGGGCCCGTGGTCCTTGCGCTCAAAGACGGCTCCTGGATGCAAGAAGGTGGATCAATCGAGCTTAAGAGGAGCTGTGATCATGGGGAAGAAGACCCAGTTTAGGCATGGGGATGAGGTCAACGCGTAGTGGATAGGTGTTCTAATCCCTTCGCTGCCTCCAATAGATAACGAACATCCCTGTTCTATTTGATTTGGGAACTGGGACTTGGTAGACGCTTTTTTTTTTTAAATGGAACACTCGTATTCCATTACGACACGGCCTGGTCGCCGGTCACAGCACTGATTACATCATCAGGATAGTTGGTGAACCACTCTTGGTTTTCACCATTTGCTAAGCCTGCACCCACACTAGCCAACACATGCGCCGGCTTATTACATGATCTGGGTACGTAAACCGAGTAAATTGCATAAAACCACCACTTTGAGGGCTAGGTTTGCGAAAAACACTAGGATACATTTTTCCTGCAGAAAACACCACATCTCGCGTAATGGTCTTGCAAAAACCACTGATCGGCGGATCTGGCACTGTTAAGTGAGATTATGACAGATGGGCCCCTTTTTTGCCTACGTGGCATAACATTTCGTGCTAGATCAATTTTAGTCTAAATTTACAAACTAGTCCATATATTTTGCACAGACACCCCTAAATCAAATAGAAAAAAGCAATCAGCTCCCTCCCCCTCTTCCCGTCTCCTTCCTCCCTCCGCTCTCTTCCCCCGCCGGCAAGGGCCTGCAGCCGCCCACCAGAGCAAGCAGCGGCGGTGGAGCTCCAGCACCTCCATCGTATTCCCGCCAAGACAGCGAAGGGCGGGCAGTGGCCACCAAGACAGCGAAGGTGGTGGACATAGACGGCTCCATGGCGCAGTTCGCGGCGCCCGTCACGGCGCGCGAGGCCTTGGATAGTGTACAAGAGCACCGCCCAGGCGCGTCGGTCTTCCTCTGCAGCTCCGACGAGCTCCGCTTCGACGTGCCCGCCCGCGCGCTTGCGGCCGAGGAGGCCCTCCAGCCCGGGTGGCTCTACTTCGTGCTGCCCATGTCCACGCTCCGCCGCTCACTCTCCGGGCTGGAGATGGCCGCGCTCGCCGCCAGGGCCAGCTCGGCACTGGCCGTCGCCAGCGGCGTTGCGTCATCCCAGCGGCGCAGGAACGGGGCCGGGGTGCCAGGCACCAACGGCAAGCGACGGAAGGCGGCGGCTCGTGCGTCGCCGGCCGGGCAGGGGCGCGCGCGGCAGCCGGGATGGGCGAGCGGCCGGCGTACTGCCGGAGCGCGAGCTTCGGCTGCCTCATGGCGCGAGCTCCGGCCCAACGACGCCGACGGGGCAACGGCTCCGGCGGCTGCTCATCGGCGGGAGGCAGGGTCGCAGGAAAACGAGGCGAGGCAGGTCGGCGATGCAGCAGGAGAGGCAGATCCCGATCTGAATCGGGAGGGTGTTTTTGCTTTTTGGCAAAAGTGTTGGGGTGTTTTCGCTTTTTTACCCATCTAATGCTGTCTTTGGTAAAACGCTATGCCACATCAGCAAAATAGGGGCCCCATTTGTCATAAATGCACTTAACCGAGCCAGATCCGCCAATCAGTAGTTTTTGCAAAAAGATTACACAAAACATGATGTAATTTGTCAAGAAACTGTAACCTAGTGTTTTCTGAAAACCTAGCCCTCAAAGTGGTGGTTTTCTGCAATTTACTCTACGTGAACCACATGGGCCTCTATGAATTGAGTACAGAGCTTGAACCTAATTTCAGAGAACATGACCCCAACCGGCGCTAGGTCATAGGCTTTAGATGAGGTGGCTTGCTTGAGGACCAGGGAGTCTGTTTCAAAAATTGCCTTCCCCACACCAAGCCTGTCTGCTATGCATTTTTTATAAAAAGGTGCCCTCCATCCTCGAAATATTTGCCACACGCAGCACAACGGGTGTCAAGCTCCACCCCGCATCTACAAATATTCATGCACGTTGGATGACTATTGTGGGCGAAACGCCATAGGAAATGATGAACCCGTGGTGGGCAGTGGACCTTTCCAAAGCGCCCGGAACAGTGCAGGATTTGTATCTGAATTTTCAGAACTGTCCCCTTGCTGCGTGCTTGCCTCATTCTTCAACATCTGCACATGAATCTTGTAGGCCGATTTAACAGAGAAAACTCCCTTGCTGTCAAAGTGCCAGGCTACAAAGTCTTCAGTTTGGTCACAAATTGGTATACGAAGAATGGTTTGGGCATCATCTGGATGGAAGCAACTAGTCACCAGGTCACTATCCCAGCTACCGGTGTTCGGGTCCATCAGTTCAGACTTCAGAGACCCTCGTGAGCAGGTTAGTCCCCTGGTGTGAGACCGGTCTGCCTGTTACACCTCGTGGGATCCATGGATCCTCCCAGATTTTCACACTAGCCCCATCACCGATGCGCCAGATTATCCCTTCTTGTAGACGCTTGTTTTTTTTAGCATACCAGCGTGTTTCATTCACGAGTTAGTGAGCCGCCTTTACTTCTAAATGCATGAAGCTCTAGACTGCACAATCGAAGGTCCGTAGTCCAAACTTTTTGTTGGGAGAGAAAGGGGCGCAACTATATCTCGCTTGACGTGAGATAATTTTTTTTGAAGGGTAGACGTGAGACAGTAGCATGTCTCGCCCCAAGAAGCCACCAGAATTGGCCGCCCCAGCGCGGATCACAGGCCTTCACTGCTCTTATTTATATCCGTTCTTTTCACATTTTTGCTTTCGTTTTTTCTTTATTTTTTTACTTTCTCTTATATTTTAGAATATACAAAATATATCTATTATCAAAATCAGTTAACATACAAATTTGAAACATGTTAATTGTGCATTTGAAAAGGATAAACATTTTTTTTCGAACAGGAGGATGACCCCCGGCCTCTGCATCTGAAAGATGTACACAACCATTTTATTAATTATTTTTAAGGACCTTACAAAGTATAACCTGGCCGACCTTGGCTTTAAGGGGGTTCCATTTACATATGACAACAAAAGGGGTGGACGAAAGAATGTTAAGGTGCGGCTCGATCGAGCTGTCGCAAATGCTGCATGGAGGGATCTTTTTGCGAACGCGTCAGTGGAACACATCGTTCCTTCCTGCTCTGACCATTGCCTCCTTATCACTCGGTTTCATGTGCAGCAACTAACTCAAAATAAGAACAGATGCAGACAGTATGAGTTATTCTGGGAGAGAGCTTCGGATTTGCCGGAAATTATTCAGCACGCGTGGCAGACCGCTGGGGACAAGGGCGACCTGGAGGCGATTCAGAGTTGCCTCGGCTCGGTTATGAAGGATCTTCAGGCATGGAGCGAGAACCGTTTTGGGAACATTTTACGCAAGCTGGAAGACTTACGCGCTGAACTGAACCGGTTGCTTAGTTGCGGTGCTGACAAGAATGAAGTCCGTAAGGTAAATGATGAGCTGAATGAATTGTTGTACAAAGAAGAAATGCTATGGCTACAGAGGTCATGTATTACTTGGCTTCGTAAGGGTGATCGCAATACGAAGTTCTTTCACAAAAAAGCTGCATGGCGAGCTAAGAAAAATAAAATCACCAAGCTCAAGGATGAGAATGGTACGTGGGTTACATCTCTGGCGGAACTAAAAACCATGACAACCGAGTATTTTCAGGACCTTTTCACTTGTGATCCTAGTCTCAACCCGGAAGAGATAGTGCAACTATTTAAGAAAAAAGTGACACCCGAGATGAACGAGGAATTATGTCGGGAGTTCTCTGAGAAGGAGATATCTGATGCTTTGTTTCAGATAGGGCCGCTCAAGGCGCCAGGCACAGATGGTTTTCCGGCCAAGTTTTATCAACGCAATTGGGGATTATTGAAGGAGAAAGCGGTGCCTGCGGTGCAGAACTTTTTTGCTACTGGTAGTATGCCGGCTAATGTTAATCACACTGCCATTGTCTTAATTCCCAAGGTGGATCAGCCGGCTACTCTCAAGGAATTTCGCCCTATCAGTTTGTGTACCGTGCTATATAAGCTGATTGCAAAATGCCTCGCAAACAGATTGAGGCCAATTCTAGGTGACATCATTTCAGTGAACCAAAGTGCATTTGTGCCTGGTTGGTTAATCACGGATAATGCACTTGTAGCGTTTGAGTGCTTTCACTTCATTGAGCAGAATAATAATCCTGGGAAGAATTTTTGTGTTTATAAGATTGATTTATCAAAGGCTTATGACCGCGTCGATTGGGGCTTCTTGGAGAAGGCGATGAAAGGCTTAGGTTTCACTCACTGGTGGATCGGTTGGATCATGGCGTGTGTATCCTCGGTGAGTTACTCGGTCAAATTAAATGGAACCTTGCTGGATTCGTTCACCCCGACGCGAGGGCTACGTCAAGCAGTGGCGGACCTTGGGCC